CACAGATATTAAACTTTCTTTATGGATTTATAAATGCTAATAGTTGCTCATTTAATAACATGAAAAGGTATGATATTAAAATAAACAGAACATGAAGCCGTTCATTTTGGCAACAATAATGAACCTATAAAAGACACAATTATCAATATTTTTGTTAACACGGCCGCCTTGGTAGTAGTGGCTTCGGCCCAAATAAACTGTGACTATTAGTGATCAGTGGAATAAAACGAATACCACAGTTCTGGTATCTACCACTTGTTGCCCCTTATCACTGATCATCATGAATCAATGGAATAAAAAATTTGAATTCTCAAACTTGCTCCACGTTGTTTTTAACAAGTTACTCATAACTTTCTTGCACTTACAGTTTGTACTAATTTACAGATTCGTTTTATGCAGCTGTTACGAGTGAAATAGTAGCTTTATTAGGTTAAAAACCGTAATCTGAAACATAGAAATACTGAAGTCAATTAAAATCTGTACTAACAGAAAAGAAGTTAAAGCATTATAGATGTCAATAAATGAAACCTTCAAAATTCTCCTGACAACTGGGATCAAACAAAGATGCGAACTACCAAAAAAGTATGGAAGGGACTGTTGAAATAGTACTTTTCACGACGGTAATAACTATTTTTTATCGTCAACTAACTTCGATTTGCTGACTCAATCAGTTCGTGTTCTAGAGATCGAACAATGTAAATTACAAAGTTCGCAGACACAGAAGTCACTGATATTACAAAAAGAAATTTGCTGCCAGAAACTTCACTGCACCAATTGTTTTCTGTAATTTAAAAACATCATTAGAAGCATTTCTAATTTAACAATTTTTTGTTATTTGTCAAGCATATTAGTCAGATGTATTACTGAAGAAGTACTTTTTGCGTTTCCACAACAAAAGAAATTTTCAAAAATGTTTTTGAATCAAAGAAAAAAATTCTGATTAAAACGTGCTTTTCTTTTTTATGATAATTTCTTCTTCAAAGATGTAAGTAATTATAAGCCTAAGAACCATAAACTATTATTTAACATCTAATAGTTTTAATACGAAAAGTATTAATATAACGATAAAAGTTGATCAAGAAGATGTTTTTTTTCCGATAATGAACAATTAAAAAAATTATATTGCAGGTCCTTTTCCCTAAATTTTCCCATCACCAATATTTTGAAACATTTTTGTCTCAATAACTGATATCAAATGCATTTCACTAATACTTTCTTGATATATCAGGATGCAAACATACAACAGACTTAAATATCGCTATTGCAACGATCAAATTCGCATATTTCACTGACAAACGCGAAAAAAAGATGCACTTCTTTAACCATCCCAACCCCAAAAACCAAACAAAACAAGGAAGCCATCTATAACACACCAATTCAAAAAAGTATATGAACAAAAACGAGTAACAGTCTCCACCATATTACTACAAAACCCTTTGCAGGTTAGTTTGAAGAAACAATCAGCGTATAAAAATTCTTGTATAAACCATTCAATTCAAACTAATAAACAGGAACCTTTGTAATTTTGCTATGTAGTAGCAGGAAAAAGCAGCATTCCAGATACAGAGGAAACTAAAGCTACGCTGCCAATGGAATCCATAGCTCCACAAAGATAATTCCCCATACAGTCCACCCCCAAAAGCATAACTTTCCTCCAAACAACTATATCCCGTACAATACATACACATCTCCTAACTACACAAAAAAACTCCAAAAATCTAGTACTACTTTATCACCTCCCAAATTTTTTGTGTAGACTTGATTATAATTAGATAAAGGAAGCAAACTTGAGATTACAGTACTTCTTGAAGTCCTCAAAGTCACTGCCATCCTTAAGCTACTATACACTCCACAACGAATTACTATTTAGAAAAACGGCATCCAACCCTATGAAAGCAACTTCGCTCCAATCAGCGCCCTGAGTGCGTCACCACAAATCGCTGCACTACTTATATATAACATAAACTTAGTAGAATAAACTTTTATTAAACAAATTACTTCGCACAAATTAAACTGAAACCGAAACTAACCTAAAAACAAGTAAAGACATATGTTAAAGTAGCAAGCTTTAAACACTATTAAGACCATATCAAGGCATATATAGAAAATTAGACATGATTCTCTCAAAGGCTATATATAAATTATAAACTTGAATTCAGATAATCAAAGAATAAACTACTTAGCATCAAAGCATACGAAAAACCCAATTTGCACAACAGTACGAAAGAGTAATGCTCTAGGTTACACGATGTGCTAAAAAAGCAATCGTTTCCATAATCTTGAAACTGAGTTATGGTTAATAATCAGAAATAGTAAATAAGTATTAAACGAGACACGAAAATGTATATCCTTTATTACAAACGTAAAAAAATTTGCAACAGAATATATTTTACAAGGAAACAGTCTCATCGCATAACTCAACAGGCTCATCAAATAACGCTGGCGTCGAACAGGTTGATGAAAAGTCGCCCAAAATTCCACTAAACCCACCTTCTTGCATACCACTAACCATCGAGTCGTGATAACCCTTCACCCTCTGACAGAAGCTTAAAAAGACAACCTACTAATTAATTAAATTCCCACTGACAGAAAATATAGCTCTCTCAAAACTAAAAAATACGTCCTCCAGTCCCTAAAAAAAGAAAAAAAAACGAACCTTTCAAAACGCGGCTCACAGTGCAAAAAGTCGTAACCCCATAAATTGTATTTCGGATCCTTAATGAGCTCCACAGCGACCAGCAAAAGTCCCCATGGGTAAGGCTTCGGTGCGAGAAGCCGCTCAAACACCGTCCTTGAAGTAACCAAGATGAAACTTTTGCAGTAACGTAAATACAAAAAAACATAACACAAAACTTATAGCACTAAACAATCAAGTTGTATGAGAAACTTTTACGGGAAGACTAGATTTTGCAAGAAATGTCCGACAGCAACTACTGCTGGTACAAACAAATCTAAAATTAAGTCTTAAACGCTACTGGAAAACTGCCTCAACGGTTCTTGACAAATTTCCTGTAAACTCTTCAAAGTAATTTTACCGATTTAAGACCACAACAGAAAGAACAAAGTACAAAGACTAGGAACCTCATTATTTGCTCTCGCACCATATTTACTTTAGCTTCGGTAAATAAATGCAGGAGTGCGAAACAGAAGTAGTACGTGCGATTGCAAGGGTAACGCAAATGGTCCACCATACCATTGAAAAGCATGTATCTGCCTAAAAATATTTATTGTTATAAGAATTTGTAGAACGAATACTGAAGAAACAAATAAACCTTATCTACGTAAAAGACTCAGTCTTGACGTCCAAGGTTAATATTACAGAACAAAGCCAGCATGGTTATAAGAAAACTTGCACTCTATAGGGCACTGTCTCAAAAACTGACCAACAAAAAAGTTAAAGCAAAATAAGCTAACAGGACATTAAATATTACGATAGGAAAAACTTTAAAATCTATGTTTCAACCAAGAGCATCCCTTTGCCACACACAGTGTAGGCTGGCCGTCATCGAAATTTTCATAAATCACGTCAGAATGCATTAAAAAGTCTACTCTTTAGCACTTCTTTTCATATTCCTTTCGTTCATACGACATTCTCCAGACCAAATTTATTGCAAGAATTAAGTGTTGTAAAAACCCAAAATTGCTTTGAAATTACAGTACTAATAAAATGGTAGCAGTAGCGAACTAAAGAACTGCTAACGGCAGTTGGATTAAAGCCAACCCACTTACTACTCTGAATGCAAAAGTTATCGGAAAAGTCAAACAAGTTGAGTCTAATTGATCTGATAAAAGGCAATTGTTCACTTTTTACAGTAATATTACTCTCTGTAAGATAATGAAAGAAAACTGGCAGGCGTAAAATTATAGCTTATTTCAGAACCGAAAAGTCCCCCAAAGAAATACCAGCTGACTCGGCCAGAGCAAAATAAAACCCTTTTCCGAGTATCTCATCAAAACGTAAACTACAGTCAAAAATTCTTCTGCTTCAATAGTACCTTCATTAGAAAGGTCCTCAGATAAACTTTCCAAGATTCTCGTATGTCGCATTTCCCCAACTGCTCTGAGATAATCACCTTGCAGATTCCTTGCGATGTTCCTCGTCGCCAGAGAACCCACGTGAAGTATAATTGCATTCATCAAGGTTGAATTGTACCGCAAACCGGGCAGACTAGTAGGCTTAAGAAAGTGCCATTAGTCAACGTGCACACAAAGAAGGAGGTTGATAAAATAACCAGCAGA